TGGTTGTTTATTTCCATTGTACAGTTGAGAAAATGGAAGCCCAGAGAGTTTAAGCAACCTGCCCAAGGTCACACAGCTGGTCCTACGGGCGGGATATGTAGCTCTTGAACCCAGGCAGCCTGACACCAGAGGCCACTCTTTGAACTTCTGCACTGCATTTCAAATTTTAGAATGAAAAAAATTCTGGTGTATCAAAAATATAGTTCTACTATTAATACCCATGTCAACATAAGAAACATCCAAACCTATAGATAATTTTCATAAGAGTTTATTTGAGCCAAAACTGATGACAAGTGACAGGAAGCAGGATCTCAAGTCCTCCTGAGAATGACAGTTTGTAGTCTCAGTTACGCATTTGGAGTTGAGAAAGATGACATGAAGATGCAAGAAAGCAAGGGCCAATGCACAATTGAAAAGATTGTATGCTCCCTTGAGGATGGTTACACCTTGGAGGGGATGAAAAAGAGGGTCACTGTGGTATTTCAAAGGTGTGTTAACCTAGATGGACAGCAACAGTGGCCAGGGCTGGCTTAAAAGCCTTTCATGGCCCGGGCCATCGCTACCCACCATGACCTGCCCAGGGAAGGGTCTATGTTTATCACAGCACCTCATTTTCATCAAGACACAGGACATAAGAAGTGCATTTGGAGTGGTGCCCTGTGTCACAGGCCCTGGTTGAGTCACTCTAAAGGTGGAGGTGCAGCCACGCTGAGATAATGCACAAATAAGGGAAAAGCGGAGTTGTCCTAGGTATGAAAATCTGCAGGACTAAACAAGGCTTACAGACAAGCGAGGAGAGTGTAGAATTAAAATCAATGGAAAGCACAGGTCTGAGCAGCCTGGGGCCCCCGCTGCCCCAGCATGTCCTCTGGTCATGGGTTTGGTTATGTGTCAGGGCCAGCCTGACAGGTTGAGCCCAGCTGAGGTAGGGAGGTGGGAATTGAGAAAAGAAAGAAAGACAGGAAAGCGGGGTCGGGAGGACTCCAGTTCTCTCGATGAACTGAAGCAACTTTATTAGCCACACAATCCTATTTATACATAACACACTGAATAGGAGGTCTGTCAAGAGGAATGTATTCTTTGTTCCTCTTAATCTCTAAGGAGAGACACAGCAGAAGGACAAGTTCTCAGTACAGCATATCTCAGTAAATAGGTACAGACTTCTTGGTAAGCTATGAAAGGCTGTTCTCATTCTACAAATGTTGCTATCATTCTACTGATAATTGCCATCCAAACAAGTCTGGGAAAACTGTATGGGTAAGGGTCCCAGCCTTGCTAGCCCCTTCAGGTGCAAGGACCTTGCCAGCTTACATCTGGCCCCCAACACTGTGTCTATTGGTAAACTACGGGGCCAGCCTAGTGGAAACCCATATCTTCCCATAAAACAACTAAGTTCATGTTTCCCACATTCTAGAGACATGAGGCTAGAAAGCCCGGCCGGCCCTCGGCTGGGCCATGGCTGCCATCCTGATGCTGCAGACGCTGGCCATGGCGAACCACTCCCCACGGACCCTGCGCAGCCAGGCCACGGTGTTCGCGGACCTGAGCACAGAGGAGCTGAAGGCCGTGCGCAGCTTCCTCTGGTCCCGGAAGGACCTGAGGCTGGAGCCCTCCCGAGGATCAACCATCGCCAAGAACACCGTGTTCCTCATTGAGATGCTGCTGCCCAGGAAGCAGCAGGTGCTGAAATTTCTGGACCACGGTCAGAGGCGGCCTGTTCGGGAGGCGCGTGCCGTCATCTTCTTCGGAGCCCAGGATCATCCCAACATCACTGAGTTTGCCGTGGGGCCCCTGCCATGGCCCCACTACCTGCGCCCGCTGCCCCCCAGGCCTGGGCACCAGGTGTCCTGGAACTCCAGGCCCATCTCCTCGGCGGAGTATGTCCTACTGAGCCACACCCTGCAGGAGGCCACCAGGCCCTTGCACCAATTTTTCCTGGACACCACGGGCTTCTCCTTCCAAGACTGCCACACCCGATGCCTGACTTTCACGGACGTGGCCCCTCGGGGCTTGGCCTCGGGCGAGCGCCGCACCTGGTTCATCTTGGAGCGCTTTGTGGAAGGCTTCTTCTTGCACCCCACAGGCCTGGAGCTCCTCCTGGACCACAGCAGCATGAACGCCCAGGACTGGGCGGTGGAGCAGGTCTGGTACAACGGGAAGTTCTACCGAAGCCCAGAAGAGCTGGCCCGGAAGTACGATGCTGGAGAGGTGGACGTGGTGGTGCTGGAGGACCCGATCCCCGAGGGCAAGGGGGCCAAAGGCACGGAGGAGCCGCCCCTCTTCTCGTCCTACAAGCCACGCGGGCACTTCCCCAGCCCCATGACCGTGAAGGGCCCACACCTGGTCCAGCCCCAAGGCCCCCGCTACAGGCTGGAGGGCAACGCCGTGCTCTACGGGGGCTGGAGCTTCGCCTTCAGACTGCGGTCCTCCACGGGGCTACAGGTGCTGAACGTGCATTTCGGTGGGGAGCGCATTGCCTACGAGGTGAGCGTCCAGGAGGCAGTGGCGCTGTATGGAGGCCACACACCTGCGGGCATGCAGACCAAGTACATCGACGTGGGCTGGGGTTTGGGCACCGTCACCCATGAGTTGGCCCCTGGCATCGACTGCCCAGAGAC